CCCAGAAGCGCCTGACACATCATGTATGGTTCAAAGAAGCAGCGCAATTCAACTCCCCTTCAAAAAACCATTTCGCAAGGTGGGCCTCGAATTGCAAGACGGAAGACACTCCAAGAGCCAGTGCCTGACAAGCTTCACATGGTTCAAAAGAACGGGGTGACTGGTTCATGAAGACTTGAACTCCCCACTCGTTTGGCCATCAGTCTGGTGGGCCTCGTCGAAGTCAATCTTCAACCGTAAGGTCCAAAATCCCAAAGCGCCTGACACATGTTGCATTGCATGGCTCAGACGCAGCACCGTTCAGGGTGACTTCAAACTTCAAACCATCAACAAATGAATCTGTAATAAATCAATCCAGCTGCTTTAGTCCAAGTCATTCAATTGCAAAGCCTCAAAAACCACAGAAGTTTCTCACACGGTTTCACGATTCCAGGAAGTGGCACTGTTCAGGAAAACTCTAAACCATTGTCCGGGCCTTTCAACTTCATCGATGTGCTGAGCCTGGTCAACAGGCCTGGTCGAAGGAGCTTTCCAATTGTAAGGTTCACAACTTCAAAAAACGTCTGACTTCAAACCATCCAGTTTTCAAGTCTGTGAATCTGGCGGATATGGTCCAAGTCAACCATAAAGACTACAAACCGTTTTTTCAAGTCTATCCATTTGGTCTGTCTTCTGACCTTTTCAATTAAAGCCAAAAAGAGCAAGAGGATCTGACAAGTTCTAGCTCCTAGGAAGACTGCAAAACCGTGTTTTCTCCAGTTCGATCAATTTGTGTGCCTGGCAGAAGTCAACGCAACCACCTCTATCTGCAAGGTTCAAGAAATGGTCAAACCAAATATTATCTACCATATATAAACATATTTATTTATCAAGATTCTTTTGCAAGAGTTTGTGAAATTGGAAGTACGAATTAATCCAAAAGGTCTGAATCCAGCAGGTTCTGAAACAACAAAATGTTGTACTTTGTTCACTTACTTGCATGCTGAACCTGCCCAGTTTCAACGGACTGAGAGCTGCGGCGTGCCGGCGTGCGGCCGGCGAGAGATGCACAGCAAGAACGGCAAGAGCTACAAAAGCACCATTTACAAAATGCATTTGCAACTGAAAGGAGTCTCCACCCAAAGACCTGCTTTTCAACATTTGCCTTGGTGACAATACACTCACACCTAAATTAACATGTCAATGAATAATGCTACATACACTCCTGCCCAATGAGTTTAAAAACGGTGCGCTGAAGCATGCCCTTCCACCACAGCAAGGTCAATCACCAAAAGCAATGAGTCACGCAATGCATTCACAACAAACAAATACCCACATCCAAAAAGATATGTTTTACAAAATCACTTTGGTGACAACACGCGCGCCTAATGCACATTTTCAATATATGAATGATACACTCCCAGGCAATGATCACAAACGCGAAGATGGAGTTCCTCGATGGCGTGGTGAATCTGCCACGTTCTTTAGTTGGTCTACTCCCCTCACCTGTGCAGCTAGTTGGACCACCAGGCATACCGTTGTGGGGCTGACTTCATCAGCCATTAGTAGAGCAACACGCAGGGAGATTATAAGCATAATTGCCTGGGACCTTCAGGCGCTACGCTTGGGTGTTTTTCCACGCACCGATCACAAAGGCAGACCTTTTCCAGTTGGCAGTGCTGCAGCCTTAAGGGCCGGTTGTCCGATTGCGCAACTATCAAGCGGAGCTTTGTTGACGGGGGTGTTCTCAAATTGGAAGGGCGACCAAGAAGCAGCAGCAATTGCACATGATTCCTGGGGTCAATGTTGAATACATTTTCTGTTTGGTCACGACCATGTGGAAAAACAAAACACCTTCCAAGTTAAAGGTACTTGGCTTTATTGTCTTTGTATATATGACATGTAAGAATGATAAATGCACCATAGTTGGAAAATTGATCGAACCACAGTTAGGGGTTTTACTTCGAGTCGTATCCGACCAACGAACAGGGTTTAGATTCAGGTTCCGTTAGTTGAAACAATATGAACCATTTAAATCGTTGCAAGCAAATCAAGGAATCACAAAGAACCTACCGGCATAACTTCATATGCGATTGGTGCTGGGCAAGCAAGAGTGTGGAACTTTTGAACTACGCAGATTTTGCCACAAACGCGTTTTGGAGGACGACAATATGTTCAAAGAGTGAGCCCAGCGCATCACCGTGGCGTGAAGTCTTTGGGTTTTCACGGGACCGGCAGTGTTGGGATTGCAGCGTGAAATTTCATTAGTCAGAAGTTTTGTTTAAACAAACTATGTTGTCCAAAACTGAACCTTACCTACCTCGCCTGTCTCACCCTTGATTTTTTCTCGATGACCTCTCTTTTTGAATTGAGGCATGCACCTTGTGCACTTGGGTTTTCTGCGAGATATCACCGCAAGCTGCTTAGCAGACATGTTCCAAACAGGAGCCACGTTGCTGAACTAACTTGTCGTTGTTTGTATAGATTACAAGCAGCAGGGCATATATACTGACCAGATTGTTGATACCAATGGTGATCAGGAGACCTGGCGGATTATGTGAATCTTGCTCCCGGAGCATCTGCTGCGCTTGTTTTCTGGAGGGTTGGTGCGCTGGCTGAACAATGGGCCAAGCAAAACCAACTTGATCTTGGGGCTGTCCGGCTTACAGAAGAGCGGCTGAACTACACGCAAACCACATACCCATGTTTGGACAGTTTGGTGAAAGCAGCGCGCGGCAGAGTGCTTTTCGAATATGTCTGCAAGATCTGCTTGGATGTGGTGCATTTGTTTTGCAAAACAATTTTGTTACTTTTCTTGGGTCATCAGGTTGAATCCTGATGTTTTACCATGGATATGTTTTCCGATCTCGTTGACAAGGACTTTTGGGGGGATTTCATGGGGATGGTTTCCTGTGCTCTAGGAACGCAACTTGCCTGCAGATCGACCTGCTTCAGACATATACCATTCGCAGTTGAGAGCTTCGATGTGCTGGTGCCTTTCTGCTTGTCTTAGCATTTGGTCGAAAGGCAAAAAACCAAAGTTGTCACAACAAGAAAAAGAAAAGTCAGTGTGGCTCGGCCGCTCTCACTTAGTGTGCTACGCGGCTCTCGCTGCTGGTGCACTTGCTCAACATCAGTTGCTGTACAAGGTTCGCCCAAAATGTCATTACTTCGAACATGCTTTAGATGAATGTGCATTGTGGGGAAACAATCCCTTGAGTCAGTCCAGTTTTTTGGATGAAGACAACATGAAGAGCCTCAGGAACCTGGCAGTTAAATGCCACCCAAGGACCGTAAAGGTCACGTGGGCCAGGCGTTACATTTTAAAGAAAGTGCTGCTGTGGCACAAACTCAAAGCAGAGTGAACAGTGAAAAAAACACTTGAGTTTTCGCGCTTTCAGTTTTGTCATTTGCTGACTTTGAATGGATACATGGTTGAAACATGCAATTAAACTACCACCGGCTACTCATTTACGGCCTTTCGAACCAACCTGGGTTTGACATTTTGTCTACATTCTACATAACAAATCGAAACTCGAAATATCAACTGTCAGCCCCTGCGCGTTCTATAAAACACCACTCCATCTACCCAACGAATCTAAACAGCGTGCCACACACCAACATCGCGCAGGTACATCCAAGTAGCTGTGCGCGCTATGCGTGCAGTCATGAACGTGACTGAGCTAAGTGGCTTCACTAGACTAAATATGTTATTCAAGTAGGTCTCCTAGCCTCTTCAGTCAGCTGCCGCTTAATTCATTTGGCTCAAGACTTTGAAGCCCAATACTGCACTCCGTGCCATAGAAAAGTGTGCTCGCCGCCGCTCACGCACTAGTCACAAGAGAGAGAGAGGGTCTTACTTGGTGTGATCGATCAGGTCCACTGTACGTCACTGCCACTTTGGGGAACTTACCCCTCACCCCCTTCATTACAGAGCTAGGTTCTGCCTTGAGTCAGCATGTCATGGGATCGCTTTGGGCTCATAACCCACGTGTGGAACTGAACGCTCCGTTTTCTCGACTTTCAAGTTTGAAGGGCTACGGCTTCACCATTTGCAGCTGCACGTCTCAGCACACGATAGCGTGCGGCAAAAACATTGGTAGCGGAGCAAGAACTTGTTGCTCAAGGTTTTGGCCATTTGCTAGCCAAGAAAGAATGTATTTTCCCACCCTTCGCCTTCCAACATACATTCCTGACACCCTTGCCTTGCCAGGGTTGTATTTTTCCCGAAAGCACCTGCGAAGGGTTTTTCCTTAAGCACTGCTGCCTATTTCATCTTCCTTAATCTCTTTCTCTTACTTCATCTTCCCCACTCTCTCTTCCTTACTCTCTTTCTCTTACTTCATCTTCCCCACTCTCTCTTCCTGACTCTCTTTATCCTACTTCACCTTCCTTATTTCATATTCTTTACTAACTTTCTCCTACTTCACCCTCACAACATCATCATCTAATCATCACCTCATAGGTTATTAATCTCATATCATATCATATTATATCATATCAGGTTATAATATCATATCACATCACATCAATGTCAGATCATATCATCTCATATCATGTGATAAAATAATATCACATCACAACATAACATATGAAGTAGAAGTATCAGATCAACAATATCAAAGTACATCAGAAGTAGATATTGATAGGTAGGTATTGATAAGTGGGTATAGACAGGTAGGTGTAGGTAGGTAGGTGTAGATAGGTAGGTGAAGATAGGTAGGTGAAGATAGGTAGGTGTAGACATCTTCCTTAAGACACCTACCCAACTTCACCTACCCAACTTCTTCTTTATTCTTCTCTTTAGGCGGCGGGGCGGTGCGAGCAGGTCTTACGAAACGCAACCCTCTCGTGGAATCGTGGCCATCGATCGCGCGCGCGTGTGGTGAGACGCGAATCGCGTTTGTCCGTGAGCAACCCTCTGCGGAGATCGTGCGCGTCGATCGCGCGAACGTGTGGTGAAACGTACATTTTGTCTGAGCGCGGCTGGGCGCA